GGAACATCTTCCGCCCAGGTGACAGGCACTTTAGCAAAAGCCGATCTGACAACGAATCTCATGTCTACACTTCAATTGATGAGACGGTGGTGTACGGCCACCTGCTGGCTGACTCCACCTACTCGGACAGCATCCAGGATCATTACAAAGGCATGCAGCAGGACTCTTATCAAACATTTACTGGCCCCACTGATGGAGAACTGCCTGTTATCAATGAGCCGGATAGCGAGCCTGAGATGGACCATTTCAACACATTCCTGAACCCTTCAGAGACTTTCATCCCGTCTCGCCCGCGCACTCCCATTGAGCGGCAGGACAGCCTTGGCTTCCAGGACCGCAGAATGATGGACAATGAGCTGTACACGTTCAAGAGCACAGGTGATATGAACACTATCCAGCTCTCTGCTGCTCACATGAATCCACAGCCAACGATAACAGAAGATTCCCTGTAGTGTGTTAGGACTGTAATCGCACGATGGACCGCTGTTACTGAATTCTTGTTTGAGCACCAGGTACCCCTGGACTCTCCACATGTGAACTTCTGTGCCTCGATAATACTCAGGGAAAGAGAGTTCATGGAGCTCCTGAATGTATGATGTGTACATTGTCTTGTCAAAATCAGTAATTTCTGAGGGATTAAGAGTAGAAGCTGTGATCTTTTCAAGGAAGTCTGGTAATTTGGGAGATGTTTGCGCCCTGCTGAGAGCCCGATGAGAATATTATAGAAGTTTGATAACATGTTTTTAACTCAACCTTGGGGGTAGGCTACTACTTGTAGATGGTTTGTGTTAGTTTTTCAGGTACAGGCTAACTGTTGTCCCCTGTTTTTTGGCTTCACTTACTGATAAGCTAACCGACATTTCGCTGTAGCCTACTCCGCAAACATTGGTCATTGGTCAACATTGGTCCAGCTTTTCATCTACGTCTTTGTAAGAAAGCAACATAGATGTCTTTGGTATTTCTTTCAAATTTAATTGGTTTAGTTTTATTAAATTGATGCACACATGTGGCATGATTTAGGCGCAAGGGGGGAAAAGGTGCAAGTACCTTTTGGTCCATGTGTTTTTATATTGTTTACTAGTTGTGTGTTTTTACATTACCTGTAAATACATTTTTGTTTTTGCAATAAATTTTAGAAAAATTATCCAAAGAGGAAATGTTTACTTCTTCAATTACTGTCACTTTCAGTTCTGCATACTGGATTGTGAAAACACGTTCGACCACAAGATCTCTGGCCATAAAAAATAAGTGTGAAGAAGAAGGGTGTGGAAGACCTCAGACTTCAGAGCAATGCAGCCCATGTTTAGGCTACCATGGAGAAGTTTGTTTTACTGGAAACAACAAAAGCAGGAGCCAGGTTTGCATAGTTGCACCACATTTCTTGCAGATGCTGGGTTTTAAATGAAACAAGACTTGTCTTGTTCATTGTCTTTTAGTGTCGACTTCACTGGACTTTTCCCCCCAAAATGTATGGAAGACAATTGCTATAGTTCTAGCTCATTATTTTATGGTAAATATGAAGGCTAACCCAAGCAGCTATAGCCACTGAAAAAAAATACTGTTATTAGGGGGAAATAGGCACGCAAATGCTTTAAAAAATATATTTCTCTTCTGGATATTCTTATGTCACATAGGGTTGTTTAACCAATTTAGAAACTACATCAAGTTAAAATATGTTAAATTTCAAGGTACTGGCAGGCAAATACTTTTACTGCTGGACAAAGTATGCTAGCTGTTTCCCTCTGTATTTGGTCTTTGTGCTGCAGGCTTGCAAGCTGCTGGTGTGAGCTAGTGGTGTTAATCTGGTATCTAGCATAAATATTGTTCCTTTAATAAATGAAAGCAGAGGAATGGATTTTTTTAATATAGTTTTTATAGTAAGTTGATGGTATTTTTTCTGGTAAGATGATTGATTCCATTTTATGGTATCTCTAGTAAATACAGACTGGAAGTATAGCTGCCTTAGCGGTTAAGAAATTGAAAAAAACTAGCCTGGCTTTGTCCAAAGATTAAAAACAATCTACAAAACGTTTTTTTTCATGAACAAATTATATGTATTAAATCCCTGAAGTAACTTTATTTAGTGTTGTCACTTAAAATCACTACTACTTTACAGGCAACACATTTTTCAGAACTATCTGTTTCCCTCTAGTCTTTTTGCTAATGAGCTAGCAAGCTAGCAGATGTTAGCCATCAAATTAGGTGGTTTCAATTTTGCATCAAGGTACTTCCTAAAATATTTCCTTCCAGAAATGTCAGGAGAGGAATGGAGCTTATAGTTTATTGATTTTTTTTTTTTTTATCAGGTTATAACACGAGACATTATAGGAGATTACAAGACGAGTGACAGAAAACAATTAAGGCTTAAGGTTGAGTTTACTTTTCTCTTTAATGCAATATAATAATTTCCAGCTCAATGCGAGTTCTGTTGTTAAATACAGTAGATGGGAAAGAATGTCTGCGATTAAACCAGTGATTCTCAGCCAATGGGTTTAACTCCTATCATAGGTGTTGAAATACTGCACCCAGTTTTTACATTTGTGAAAGGTGCCAGCACCAACACATACATTTTGTCATAGGAAGGCTGTCATTTTCATTCAACCATTAAGTATATGTTTTAGAATTAATGGAACCATTCTAACTTTAAAATAAATCTTTGACATCAAGGCGGGGTCATGGATTTCTTTCGGAAAAGACAAACAATTTTTCTAGACTGAAAGGCGTTCTTCTTGGTTTCATTGTGACCACAAAGAATGCAGTAAATGACACATCTCCAGATCACGTCTTTAAAAAATACAACTGTGACCTTTGGGCAAACATTTGGTCTCATTGCAACACCAGCTGAGAACCACTGATTTTAAACTCTTTTTAGAATAGTAGGCAAATTGGCATTGCAGCAAGGGTACAGACTGAAAGCAGCTACAACCATGCGTTGTCTATGATGACATAAATGGAATCAAACAATGTTGAACTGGCAAACAGAGGGCTTCTCGTCACGACAGTTCTCATCAGACCACTTCCCATTGGGGGCCACAGACAGGACAGCACAGTTATGGGACATCCCACCATCTGGCTGACGGGACTGGTAGTTGGATGTGTCCCAGTTTTGGAATGAAATGCTGAAGCCAGACGTATCCATCCAGGTGCCCTCGGTCACCATGTCGTTGACGCCCAGCCAGATCTGCTCATCAGGGCCGATGCTCTGGCGGATGTAATCTCTGAGCTGGTCGTTCTCATCGCTGGATGTGGGCGTGCCAAGGACACCGCCCATGGCGTTGCAGTCCTCACTGGCAGTGTGATAGCGTTTTCTCAGAGGGTCAGCCAAGTAACACTTGCCATGGATCTTTGTGCCTTTCAAACAGACTGAAGTGAAAAATAAAAAGGAGCAGATGTTAGATGTATGTCATCATTATTCATTGTCATGAAACAGGAGATAGTTCTAATAGCCTTTGTCAATGGGATTAAAAGAAGTCCTCTAATCTGTTTTTGAGACAGTTAATAAGCACAGTATGCTTAAAATAAATGGGCAACATGATTGCATGATAGGAATGGATATAATTTTGTGTTCTGGGCAAGAGGTCAGAAAGTGTATTCCATGTGTTTCCCAGATTAGGTATTTGCACTTTCAAAAACCACATGTATCCCATCCGTCTGAATCTTACAGAAAAGCATACCTTAGACTTTGGACTCCAACATGGACACATATTTAGTTCTCTGAACAATGTAGCTAATGTTGTAATCCACTACAGACAGTTACTTATCTAAGCCTGGAAGAAGTACATCTTGCTCAAGGACACTAGCAGCTGAAAGTTCACTGATACAGGGGCTAAAACCGGCTTAGTTTCCAAATCTAAATCTGATTTTATGCGATCGCTGCAACATTATCCTGTTAGGGACCACCTGGGGCCAAAAAAATAAATCACGTTTGTCTCCCATTGCCCCTCCAGCCGTAAACCTGTGTGTCATGGTAATTTAATTTATCTAGGAAATCTCAGAAAAATTTACTCAATGAAAATTCAAAACCATTCAATAAACTCCTGATAACTATTATCCATATTGCTCTTTCTCCTCAGCAACATGATTTAATATTTCTTACTACTTTTATTCTGTTTCCTGCTGACATGAAGGACTTTGTTGTTTTGTAAAAAGCTTTTTTAAAATAAAAAGCTAATATCATTACTATTCAAAGAAGATTTTGGCAGAGCACCCCTCTTCAAGACTCTCTACAAGCTTTATTATTATAATGTTCAAAAGTGGAGCTTACCTGTCTGCAGGGCTTGTTGTTCCTTCAGGAGGTTGAGCTCCTGGACGATGTCTTCGATCTGTTTCTGTAGCTCCTCAATGGCAGGATCCTTTGTTGCTTCTGATTGCAGCCACATAGAGACAAAAGGACATTTAAATCAGGTGTTATTTGCTTTGCATGCTCAGGGATTCATGAATATACAGAAATATGCTGCTTGAAGAGAGTTCATAAAAGAGTGCCTGAGATTATGTTTCTGCAGATTGCCTTGTACCTTTTTTCAGTGGCTTCTTCTTCAGAGGATTCTGCTGAAATGAGTAGTTCACCAGTACCAACACTCCCAGCAGCGCACACACTCCTTTGAACTCCATGATGTGAACTTCAAGAATGACGCTGCTCCAGTGTGTGTGGGTGGATGGATTCTCTCTCTCTCTCTCTCTCTCTCTCTCTCTCTCTCTCTCTCTCTCTCTCTCTCTCTCTCTCTCTCTCTCTCTCTCTCTCTCTCTCTCTCTCTCTCTCTCTCTCTCTCTCTCTCTCTCTCTCTCTCTCTCTCTCTCTCTCTCTCTCTCTCTCTCTCTCTCTCTCTCTCTCTCTCTCTCTCTCTCTCTCTCTCTCTCTCTCTCTCTCTCTCTCTCCAAAAACGCCTTTTGAAGGCTCATCTTGCTTCAAAAACTTTATGTGGATAGCCAGAACTAACAAAAACCTGATCTGTGAGACAGGTGGATACAATACAACATACATATACAAAAATAAATACACAAACTGTGAATCATTTATTGCTTAAATGGCCTAATAAAAGGGGTACAGCATCATCATTATAAAAACATGGCAAATATTTTCTTTTCCGAAAAGTTTGCCTGAATTTTTTTGGGAAGTCCTTAGGACTGTTGCCATTTGGAAAAACAAAAAAATATTTCCAGGTGTTTTTGGCACCTTATTCCAGCCATGAACAACCTGTTCTCTGCATACGTTTTTAGTTTTCAAAATATGCAGTGTGAGTTTTAGCCATAAAAAGGACTTTGTTTTGGACCCGCCTGCTACCAGTCAGCACACACCCTCTAGCAGTCTGAGGGAAGAGTGGAAATGATCCAGAGTCACATCTGGTCTTTCTGTAAGATTTCCATTCGACACAATCCTCGACTGACACGTGGCAAAAAGAACAGACGCACAGAGTCTGGACTCGATTTTTCACTTCTGTCTTGACAGCACTGTAATAAATATACACTTGGAAGTATTGAGCATGCCAGTTTGTTTATTTTACAAATTACTGATCTCAAGTATCAACTGTTCTCCCCTTGTTATTACATAGAAATATTAGGGTTGCAGCCTGTATTATAAAGTAAACACAACTCTCTACTTACACAATAATATCAGGGGTGTGTCTATCCACTCTTCCTACCCTGTAGTTAGACAGCAGGCTGATATTAGAGGTGTGTTTCTCACCTTGTTACCCTGCAAAAGAATAGTTAGATTAAGATTATAGCAGTCAGTAATGTTAAGGGTCCAGGCTGTATTCTAAAGTATCTTTATGTTTGTTTTCAACAATAATATTCAGGGTGTGTGGACTTCTTTTCTAATCACATCACTTTAGGTTACACTGACTGAACAGGAGGCGGCTGTGGTTCAGTGGTAGAGTCGGTCGTCTCTCAACCAGAAGGTTAATACTAATGGACACTTTACATAGCAGCCTCTACCATCAGAAAGAACATGTGTGGGTGTGAAGAGTCAGAAAGACTAGAAAAGTGTTATATAAGCTCAAGTCCATTTATCATTTTTACAGAATATCTTCATGAAAAAAACACCCTCAAATACAAGACGGATTTAGAAGTTCACATTTCTATTAGAAAATTCTGCATACATGTACAAACACACATACTGACGACACAGTAGTTATTTAACCAAGGAAGCCAACTTTCTGTCGCTTGGTTCCCAAACTCTCTTCCTGCTGCAGAAGCTTCATAAGAGGAGCATGAAGAGCTTTCCCCACCCGTTTACCTGCCTGGAGACAACAGAATACGTAAATACCTTTATGATGTAGAATCTTACACACACAGTATCAGATTCAGTCTGTATTAACACATATAACTCTGTACTTTATGTTAAGAAAGTTGTAAAACTCAAGATTTTTCAGCAACATTATCTGCACACCTGCTCCAGAAAATCTAAATAACTCACAAGTGTAAGTTTTTTTTCTCCCTTCTATGAAAACTGCTTGTTTCTACCTAAAGTCATGTGTGAGATTGTTTCTTTAGGATATAAGACATCTAATCTCCCTTTTGGTTTTTGTCCAAACACCTTTATGTTTAGGACAAAAGAATAAATAACCTGTGGCAGACTGAAAATGACTTTACTGTCACTTTTCTTGTGAGTGTTCCTCAAGTTCGCCCAGCAGTATGTGCCCCTTCTTTTTGTTTTTTAATTGTATGATCCTGTAACCCAACCAGCACCTGAGAATAAAGGCTGGCTGTGCACGGGGTACCCTGTTGGTCATCTTTATATTTATGTTTTTTCTCTTTCCTCTTACAAATCATTCTCTTATCAAACTGTGGCAAAGAATGAGCCACTTTAAATCAATCCAATTAAATAAAGCAGTGTGTTTATATTTATGTATTAGTTTATTTGTCAGGGAAAATACATGTAGGCATTGGCACGTCTAATTAAAGTGCAACCGATGCATCTAAATAAGACTTAGCAGAGTCAGATTTGTAGTCCTTATCCCAGTTTAGGCTTTTAGGAAATAACACACGATACAACAACACTAAAATAGACATAAAAACTATCAATCACAGCAGACATAGACGGGCAGCTACAAGGATGGATAAAAGCTAACAGTAAAGCACACAAAGACACTAAGCAGATTGATAATAATGACTAAGAATAAGAAGTAAGAACTAGAACTGAAATAACAACTAAAAAGAAACAAGAGTAAAAGATAAGTAAAATATGCTGTGCTCTATAAAACCAGTAACTTAGTGGTCACAGATTTCCAAATATGTGTGCCTTTAACTAAGAAAAAGGACTGCTGCTGTTTTACTGGTTTAACTGCCCCTCTTGTATACTCAGTTAAAAGAACCACAAACTACATGACTTTTAGAGAAGCAGGTTTTGTTGCTTTGGGTCATCGCTGGGCTAGCTCTTTCCATTGTGTCACACTGAGCTAACAGGCTAACAGCTAACAAGATATTATGGCTGCAGAAAAGAGACTGTATTGATCCTCTAATAAAGCTCAAATCAAGTCTGTAATTTTGGAAAGAAAAAGAAAAATTCTGCTAAAGCTTCACTTGAGTCGACAGGACAACAGATGGCCGAGGACGAGGTCTGGACTCACCTCTGTCATTTCATAGATGCTCTCTGGGTCCAGGCTGCCTCCACCCACCTTCCTGGTGCAGGTGACGGTGCCCTTGTGTGTGACAGAGATGATAAGGCTGGCAACAGAGCAGGCCTTCTCCTGCAGGGTGGCATCCACTACGTGCCTGTGACCCACCTGCAGAGAAAAAAAAAACACAATGTAAGGGGGAGCCAAGCACTATGTAATTTCCCTCTAATAATGGTTTTCAGAAAGTGTACTTACCTTACACAACGTCACTATGCAAGGAACGTTTTCTACATCGAGCCTCATGCAATCATACGGATCATCCGAAAGCTCAATTTCCTTTCCTCCTTCGTCGTCAGATGATATGTGCACTCTGGGAATTCTGTCATAAAGACAATTAGAGGAATGTATAGAAGTTTTCAAAGGTCACACATTATGCAAAATACTTTTCACCATGTTTTTTGAACGCTCACTAATGTGAGCTCAAACAGGCCGTTTGAAAATGTTCCCTTTGTGACATCACAAAGGTCAGTGACCCCTCCACCAGATGGGTGACACTCCCACAGCTAGGTGTTTGTTCTGCCCTCTGAGTCTGCCTTCTCACCGTAAACAATAAGGCATGGAGCAAGAAAGACCGAGGCCCTTTCCGAATTGTCACAGTTCAGTGGGCAGTACGTACTATTCAGTATGGAGTTTCAGTATACTGAACTTTCATGGTCATTCAGTATGCATTTTTTGGGTCCACCTCAGTATACTGAACATTTCAGTATGGATACTAACTTCCGGGTTTTATGCAGTATGGATCGGATGCGTGCTTTTAGGAAATGAGTTGTATTTTACCAGCCACAATGCTGTGCAAAATTAAACGTAAATCGTAACGTCACGTCCGCCTCCAAATCAAAACAAACGAGCGTGGATTAATTGAATCAATTTTTAATCTAGAGTTAAAGTCCCGACTGAAATCACTACTTTTAATTAACAACAGCAAATATAACAAATATCTGCATTATTATAAAACCGTTCTCCCTCTATTTAAATAATGATTTCACTATTTAAATGTGTCTTTATTGGTTTATTTTACTTTATATTCCGTATCTTACTGTCTTTCATTTGTTCTTTTCTTTATGTACTGCATGTTATTTAATCTGCCTTTTACTTGATTTACATTGTGATATTGTTTTTTGTTTACCTGACTGTATATGCGCATTACTCCTCTTGAATAAACCTAAACAAAAAAAACAAAAAAAACGGGTGGATGCGGCCGGTTCGGGTAACGTAAATGACGTCACTTCCTGACTGAATGAATCAGAAGAAGTAGGAACAAATATCTGCCTACTGTGCGTGCATACTGAATAGTAGGTACTAACAGTATGCAGCACAGATAGTACGTACTGCCTACTGAAAGATTGAGTAGGTACTTGGCAATTCAGATACGGCCCGAGTACACTCAAGCCCTTCTAGAGAGGGGGGTGTGGTCAGACACAGCTCATTTACATATTTAAAGGTACAGACACAGAAACAGCCTGTTCTGAGCAGGGCTGAAATAGAGGGGTTTATAGACATGATCAAATACAGGATCAGAGTGGATTTAGAACAAGAAACTTCACACACATGTTTTGAGGAGCTCTGAGACTTATTTACACTGAAGAGGAGGAGGATATGTGACCTTCACATTGAGCAATCGATCATTTTAAAGACCTTGACAAATACCATTGGAGCGCTTTACTTACTTTGTGTTGAAGAGAGCTGCCTTGATAGCTATTGAAATGGCATCATACAGGTTTCCATCACACTGCAGGAGCTGTGGGAACATATCAGTGTGAGATTTTACCTTAGTGAGGAGAACTGAACTATATACACAAGGACGAAATGTGCTGCTTGAGTTATTCCTGCTCAGAAACTATTTGCGAAGACAATCTGTATTTCACAGACCTCCTTACCTACCCCCATAAAATATACTGAATTGTGTAATTCTGCATTTCTTGTTCTTTACTACACGTCTTTATCAACAAGAGAAAAATGTCCAAAGTGTGTATGACCCACATGGGCCATTACTATAACCACATGTTAATACAGAGTTCATATGTGATCCAAACAGACAAAAGCTGGAGGGGAAAGGATTATTACATAATATTTTATTGTTATTTATTCTTCTACATTATTCAAAAGGGACAGAGAAAATACACAGGATTTAGAAAGTTTAACAAGACATGACTTCATGCTGCCACTCACCAGCACATCCACATAGAGGACCCAGCAGTGCTCTCCTGCACTGATGCTGAGGCTCTTCAGGTCCACACTGTGTTTGTTGTTGAAGACTTTGTAGAGAGTATTACTCAGCTCTGTGCCAAGCTCCTCACCTCCTCTGCCCTCAAACTCAGGGGTGGCGTTGGCTGAACTGGTGAAAGAATGGTTGTGCTTTTTTTATGATTTTTTTTTTTTGTAACTTACCTAACCTGGATGTGTTTAAAATAAGACCAGAGATGATTCAACAGTTCCTCCTAGTGGCAGGGTATACATCAACACATGACAAAAACGTAGGACCTATTACCAAGGAAGCAATCTTTACCTTTGGGAACCATGAAAACCAATATTTATTTTGGTTTTTAAAACAAGTTTTTGTCAAAAGCAATTGAAAATGTGATTTCATTTAGAGTAATTTCAACAGTATAATGAGTTAAATTGTACTTATTAAAAGTAATGTTAGTAAGGTGCAATAAAATCTCAATAAATTGAAATCAGACTTTTGATTGGTTCAACATAACTTGTAAAATGCACTTCTTCTTTGTAAAGTGTTGGTTTATATGTTTTCTTCTGTATAGCACATTGAGTTTACATTTGTATGAAATGTTCTGAACAAATAAAATTACATTTCTTTTTTTATGTCTCACCTCAATATTATTCTATTATTTGCACAGGCATATGTGTGTATGTGGGCAGTTGAGTGCTTGTAGCATGTAAGGTAGCAAATGGTGTTTAACTTAGTGTTACATTTCATTGTGAGATTGTCCACAGTGGTGTAAAAAAATTACCACTACTGATTATTTAAAGGTAATCTACACTGACAGCATTTTACACTGATAATATTCATACTGGACGTTTTCGTAAATATTATTAAAATAATAATAAAGACAGACACAGTCTGTGTCTTAGTATTATTGTTTCAATTGATGTTCCTGAAAAATGCACATGTAGTAATATGTAGTGTCAGTATTATATAATGTTGTGTTGTACATAACAGCTGTGGCTCACTTGGTAGAGTTGTCGCCTCTCAACCGGAAAGTTGAGGGTTCAATCCCCAGCTGGGCAACATGTCCGATGTCTGAAGCAGTGTGATTGCTCCCACTGCTTCAGTGGTGGTGTATGAATGGGATTAGTTACTTCTGATGATACTACATAGCGATCACTACCATCAGTGTGTGAAAGGGTGTGAATGTGTAGGTGTGACCTGCGGTGTAAAAGCGCTTTGAGTAGTCGGAACACTAGAAAAGTGCTATATAAGCTCAAGTCCATTTTTCCATTTACATAAAATGTTGGTCCCTGACAGGAGCTGGTAAGTGTGACTGGTTTGGTAGCAAAATATATACAAAATAAACCTCTGTTTATACAGAAGTCATTATGTGTACAATACATACCAATCCACAAAGAACTCCAAATAGCCTTCGTTTGGGACCAGAGGTCTTGGTTTTCCAATTTCAGCTTTAACCCCAACTAGAACCGCGGTGTGCCCCTGAAAGAAAAACACAAGAGAACAGTTGATCAGTCATCTTTCTTTACGTTAGAATCAGAATCAGATTTATTGGCCCTGTATGCTTACACACACAAGGAATTTGGCTTCGTTGAACTGTGCTTTCAGCGTACAAAAAGTACAACATTAAATAAACACTAAACAAGGCTAAACAGTGCAAACATGCTGAGATGAGCTTGATAGTAAACACGTGATTATGTAACAGATGGTTAATAAAGGTAGTTTTACAGTATTACAATAATATACAGAGATGAAGTAGAACCATACTAACATGTGTTGCCAAGGTAACGAGTGTGTACCAATAGTCTTCTTCGTGTGAAGACAACATGAGCCAACATGGAGGACTTCTACATTACCAGTGTGATTTTAGCCGAGCCGTCCGTGTTTGACACCACATCAGTCTCTATTTCCATGTGTCTGTAGTCCTCACAGCCTCTTCCATCCACCCGTAAGTCATCCTGATGTAAACAACATTACAGTATCAGACATAGGAAACAGTAGGGCAGCTTTCTTTCTAGCGTTACACAGAGTAAATGTCCGTCTTGGTGTTTATCGAAATTATCAAGGTAGTTACATACCCGAATACCGTGTAAAATATACACCTTTTCCGCCTCGCTAACTTGTACTGTAGCCATGTTGTTGAACCGCCTGCATGTGAGTGAGTCGCTACCTTATGTCGTCATCATCAGACGACGAATAAAAAAAAAAAAAGGAGCGTTTGAATTTGCCCACTGTGTTCACTTATGTCTCGATTTAATAACCTCAGCGTGCAAGAAAGAGCGTACCGAAGAAAAAAACATTGAAATTGAGACAAATTAAATTAAAATGACACATGGTGTTGCCTGATAAGGGTCAGTTACTTTTATGGTGTGTAACTCTCTTTAAGTTAGTATTTAAATTGATCTTTTGTGGTTTCTTCTTCACTTTTGAATTGTAATGCACTAATATTTAAGTTTTTATCACAGTCAGACTGGATTTCTTTTATTAGTTCTAATTGTTTAAAAAAAAATACACACATTTTTGTCCAGCGTTTAGCATTCCAGGCAAGTCTTATTCAGCCAGCGGACATGATATTTGCTGATAAAATGCATTTTATGCTCTTAAGTTATGCTACTGTACAATTTCTTTTTCGGACTTGAATTTACATGTTTTTGGTTAGGCTAATTAATTTCAAGGATTCAGGAAATAACTTTAAACCAGAATTATTTTTGTAGATAGTCACCGAGAAACTTTATTAAGCAAGTACAAAATGAAGTGCGATTTTCCCTCGCATACGTTTTCGTTGATGGGACTTTAACTGAATACGGTCATTGACCTAATGTTAATAAAGTAATTGTTAATAATGATTATGCCTTGCATAGACTGAGCGAAAGTGATGCCTGACAGACTGCTATCAGGGCACACTCGCCTAACACACTTCCCTCAGAGCACACTCGTCTGACAGACTCTTCTCAGGGCACAGTCGCCCGCCACACAGAGGGAGAGTGTCGGACTTCCTGGTTGGCTCTGCGCTGTGTTGTCCTGTTCCCCGCAAAGCTTTCTGGATCTAAGAGGCGGAAGCACCAGAATAGTTGGGTATCGGCCTGTTTTAAAAAGGGCTCGGTCCGTCTTTGTTGTGTTTAGCACACTTAGCATAATTTCGGCGAATTAACAAATCGTCGAAACCGAGGCAGCAGTGAAAGCTGGAGCGGTGCCGCGCAGCTGTGGAGAGCTGCTGCCCGAGGATCAGTGAGGTTAGCTGGGATAGAGCTAACTGACAGAGCGGCGGATGAGACGGTCTGGAGCGTTTTAATTCACTACGACCAGAAACTACACCAGGACTTCAAGAAACTTTTGAGACGCCAGGAGAGGGCGAGGTAGGTTTTTATTTGAACTAACAGGAGCGTTACTTTAACTTGATATAAATGTTTACTGACTATTATCAGCTATTAAGTGACGTAAATCCAGATATCCTGAGGTATCCTGCTTCAGATGGCATAGTTACTTCCTGGTCTTTTTTGTTGTTGTTTGTTTAAAGATTAAGCACTTTCTGGAAGTTCATTCAGTATTTCCTTGCATTGATATCACACCTGAACAGGCCCCATGGGTAATTGTAAGATAACTTGTTCTTTACGGATCCATTAGAGGTCAATGTGGCATGAAGACAGACTCCAGGGAGTCCTGCTAAAGAGCACATAGATCTATCCTTATTGTTAAAACCTATGAAGTGTTGCTCTTTATCAAAACATCTTACCTTGAAAACGGTGTACTCAAGCAATGCCATCCATTCATTTTTTTATAGTACAACTGTAAGTAATGAAACAGTTCATCATCTCAGGTAAAGATCATAGTGGAATCATTTCAAGTTTGTCAGGTTGCAAGAAACATATCAAGTTGGGTTGCTAAAGTGACTCAGTATGCATCTGTGTTGTAACTTCAAAATCTATTAATAATTTCATTCATATTTCCCCTTCCTGCTTATTTATTTTTGTCAAATATGAAAAACCCACCGAGTGCAGTTTGAACATGCTCGTGGGTGATTGTGATCCACTTTTTGTTGCATTTGTTTCATTGACTATAAGATTGATCCAGAAAAATAATCAGAAGATTCATTCTGCTCACTAAAACAAAACGATGTCCTCGTCTCTATCACCTTTCAGAAGACACTTTCCGCTAAGTTTAATTCATTTTAGGAGGATGGCAACCCCTGAATAAAAGAATAACAGAGGCTTAAAAGTATTTCATAATAAAAAGAAAATCAAATGAGAAAGAGGGATCCAGGATCTGGGGTGATGTGTTCACTTTTCTTTGTCTTGAGCAGCGGTATAAAGATTCAGTATTCGGTTTATTGCCATGGAAGTTTAGTCATATTTCTGTTGTTGCTGTTTTTAGTTGCATTATGATCGATGTAAAAGTAGAATAAAGAAGAGAAACAGAGGTTAACAGCTGTGCTCTTTCACTAAATGAAAGAAAAGATAACACATGAGCTACAGTCGTCTGAAAGTTTCCTTTCGCTGTAAAGTAGAAGTGTATTAAGAAGATTTGAATGGAAAGACTTGAGCTCCAGTCCTTCGAGCCAGGTGGTTCAGTAATCCCAGACTTGTAGTGAAAGTGATACCCACAGACTGAGCAAACCTCCAACCTGACCTCCTGCTGCACTCCTGCTGTGTGTGATGACACGAGTGGTCAAAGGGTCAGGAGCACACAAACAGAGCCTGAGTCGCTCATACGTCCTCCTGGACAAGTTTCAAGTTATATAATTTACATATTAAGCAACACTACAGGTCTGTTGGGCAGTGACAATAGAGCCTGATTGCTGCCATGGGTACAGTCACATGGATGGATAAATTCAGGATGTTCAGGACTAAAGGATTTAAGAGCTATCATCAATAAACCATTACCCCTTTGTCGAATGACTTCCTTGTTTGACTGCCATTGAAACATGGCTGACTCCAATGATTTACTATCTTCTCTTTCCCATGTTCTATTTCCCATGTAGTAAGTAACAATCCTTGTTATCTCCGTATTTGTTTTGTTTTCCATATTGTCAAACAGAAAAGGCTATATTTGTAGTGGTTGCTGCATCAGTTCTGTATTGTTGCTACATCGTCCTCAGAGGTCAAACGTATGTGACTTTTTTTTCAAGAAGAAAACCCAATCATGACTCATCAGCCTCGTGTCTCTATCAGACTGTACTGTAACTTAGGGCACGGTCACACTGACCAAACGAACTGGACTTTAGCGTTGAATCATGCTTGGGCACGGTACGGATGGCCAGTGGGGCCGCGCCCTAAGATACTAACAATGGTGGTACTCGATGATAATTGGCTGGTATCATGTTCAGACACTTCAGACTGTTAGCATGCTAATGAAGGACACATAAACACTTCAGTGTAGAACTGTTATGATGTTTGATGCTGCATCATTTGGTCCCAAATACATAATATGAGTTTTATTTCATAAAGTCCCTGCTGCCATTTCTGCTGACTGATTGTTAGCAGTTTCAGTCTATGTTAAGCTTTTTGACATTCATACTCAAATGCAAAAACCCAAACGTGGTCAGGTAGAAATAAGCACATGTTGTTTATGTAAACACAAGGAACACAGACCGATGAAACATACAGGTGTCTTCAAGTTAACAGCGTGTTGCTGTTCATAACAACAATATCGCAGTTCATTGAGTTGTATGATGCTAAGTCTTAATAGCTAAATTGTTGCTAACACAGCCTCTTAGGCAGACATGTTAAGGCTGGATAACAGCAAAGTCTCAGACACCTACCATGCCCTGAACAGTCAATATGAACTTTGACCTGAGAAACAGGTTCCCATGTTATAATGTCAGACTGAAGCAGTCAATCCTAAAACTCAATATGGAGCTGAATCTCAGTACACTGAAGGCCTCTGAATATGTGTTTGTTGTTTGAAGGTCGTGTAAAATGTTTGTATCTTGTCTTTCATTTTTCTGTTGCAAATGGAGCTGCTGTGATGCAAGACACATTTCAGACAATAAATCAATCATAATCTGTGGTGTCCGGGGCGACGTGGCCTAGTGGATGTGTGCGCCCCATGTACAGAGGCTGTAGTCCTCCAAGCGGACAGCGCAGTTTTAAATCCGCCCTGTGGCTTCTTTCCTGCAAGTCCGTCCCCACTCTCTCTCTCACCCCAATGTCTGACTCTATCCACTGTCCTGGAAGTAAATCTTTAAAACCCAGTGGTGTTCATTTGAATTAAAATCTATTGAATAGTTTAGAGATTTCAATCTGAACCAATTGGTTTTAGGATCCAACTGAAATGACAGTAATACAAAAAGAAAACCCAAACTATTTGTGAGAAATGATTGAGACAGGTTGAAAGGATTTTAGAGGAAAGAGAAGTGAATAATCTGCCAATAGGAGGCACCGCTTTAGTCTCTGTGCTCCTCAACAGGTGGAGCTTAGTGTGAGTCAGAGGTCAGGTGGGTGTGTTATGTGGAGAAAGAGGTCTGGTAATTGGTCTGGTCTTTAAGGTGTAATTGACCATGGAACGTGTTAGTTTAATGTAGAAATGATGTTGATTAATGTCCTGGAGAACGTGCTGTAGAAGGGCTCATGATCATTTTCAATCTAATTAAACTCCTGCTCTCAAGGGAGTAGTGCTTAACTGCCGGGGTCGTTGACCAAGCCCTTATTAAACTGGACATAAAAGTGGGATTAAGCTATAGCTGAGGAAAGCCTAATAGACTGATTGAATCGTCAGGAATGTCCAAGCAATCTGGTTTCACTCACTTTACGTTCAGCTTTCAGTGAGAAGAAGGGCTCACAGGTCTGGCCTTGTACAGCCAATAAGCTGTTTAATTCTTATCTGCACAAAAATGTAAGGCCTGTTTTAAAGAAATCCTCTTTAAAGTCAAACTCACAGTCAGTAGGGGGATGGCAGGGTAACACAGGCCCATGATAACGATGATGTATTACATTAGGATATCTGAGTATTCTTTTACCTCTGGTCATGCTTCATCTCTTACCGCTGTCTGACATTAACCCAACATCTTCATATTCTCTTATCCCACTGTCCACTTCTTCTTCAGAATTCATTTCTGTTAACGTTGTCACCCTCATTCATCTCATAAGCGCCATCCTGAGGAGTCATGAAGTACTGACCGTGGGTTCACTTGGCAGGGAAATGATCAATATGAGGCACCAGTGATTCAATAATTGTATGACACGATAGAGGTGGGCGATATGGGGAAAAATATCATATCATGATTTTATCACGATTTTTTTCATACTGATCTTTAGACAAATTTGTAAGTTACTGACCAGTTCAACCAAACTTATTTGATCAATATTTATGCACAATTTGAAGGTTTTCCTCACCACTTTGAAATTATGATTTAGTTATGTGTCCTCTTTTTATGTTCATCAGGGACAATTTCACGCAGTGATGCATTCATTTAAAAACATGTAGACTTCAAGTTCTTGTGTTTCTGTTCTATTTAGCCCTGCAGAGTTCCTACAGCTGTAGCTTCATACAGGCTCTGCAGCCTTTGTTGTTTTTTACGACATCATTGGACTAACTTTAGTTTTGTTTATATATAATCAAACATAATACAGGAGGTGTTCATTCTGTGACAAATGGTCAAAGTAAGTTTTACTGACAGAAGAGTTTAATTCATAGAGGGGGCGGGACTTGGTTGATTGACAGACAGACAGTCACCATGGTTACTCACGCTCACCTGGCTGCTGCGAATAAGTTAACTGTTGATCACGCCGTGTCAGTTTGGAAAACTATCAGTAGAAATATCATATGGAGTGGTTTTTGCGGACTTAAGTTTTAAGTTTCGTTTTCGTTTTCACCGCGGTGGAGCAGAAGGGGGGAGGGGGTGGAGACGCGTCTGTGTCGGTGCGGTTCTACGATCTCCCTGCTTTGGCAGATCGTCAGCATGTTAAAATCCTTCACGAGCTAAGATCGTTATATCGCCCACCACTATGACACGAGTCAGAACGATGATGTATTGATATTGATTTGATGTCCCACCCCTACTCATTATTAGAACTGTTGTGGGACCGAAGTCAGACAGACAGGGAGACAGACAGACAGGATTTTTTTCTGTATTTTCAAGCTTTTCTTTTTATCAAATCGAAACAATTGAAGTTTATCTAATTTTAGTTGCATCCGTTGGCCGATACCTTCCCTCACTAAACTCCTTCACCTTATTCCTTTCTGCTCCCCCCTCGTCCTCTCACCTCACAGTATGCGGCCTGAGTCGTTGTAGGATGAAGAGCCCGGCGCACCGCACCAGGGACATCGAGCGGCAAGCCGGATACCTGAAGCCCGAGCACTGCGCCCCTCCTCCACCCCGCACGGGCTCCGGCACCATGTGGTTCATCCGCGACGGCTGTGGCATCGTGTGTGGCGTCATCACCTGGCTCCTGGTCTTCTACGCCGAGTTTGTGGTGGTGTTCGTCATGCTGCTGCCCACCAAAAACCTCTTTTACAGCCTCTTCAACGGGGTGCTGTTCAACGGCCTCGCTTTCCTCGCCTTGGCCTCTCACGCCAAGGCCATGTGCACAGACCCAGTAAGTCATACTGTTGTATAAACACTCTTTAGACAGATAGATAATAGTAGCTTTTGGAGATGCATGGCTCATATTCTAGTATTATTACCTCTCTTTTTTTATCCAGCAACATGATCCGTTTACTTAAAGAAATCAGTGTTTACTCAAACCATCACAGGCTAACAGACAAACAACAAAGCAGGGACAGGATGTGGCTTCAGTGTGGGCTTGTTTCTGGGACTCTGAGACAAAACGGGTCGAGGCCAAATGGGTAATTTTAATGTGACATCTCACTCCGGGTGGGAAGCTTTTATAAGGTCTTACTGGTTGCAAGTTGTGAACACACAGTGGATGCAACTAGAAGTCATCATTTCACCGCGTCCTGAACAGTCAGCAACTGAAATACAATAAATAGTGAAGATCCAGAGGGATAAAAGGTCGTATATCAAGATGAAATGACTCAAAATCTAATATTAGCATACACTATCTACACTACACTACATGAATAATTTAAGCTGCCATTGGACAGGATGTTGTTTTTCATGTAGATTCAAAGAATAATGTTATTATGTTGATTGCTAACATTTAGTCTAACAGTCTGTCATGAGATATCCCTGAAATATGGCCTGATGTTCTTTTAGGACTTTTCGTCTTCTTAGTTTCTGGATCATAAAGAAGCGGGGAAATTAGAAGTTGTTTTTTGTTTTCAGAAACACAACGAAACAGCATTTGAGAATCTAACCCTGAGTGTGACATCAGAGGGAAAACAGGTTCATTCTAGTTTAACATTATTAACCAGGGACTCACTAGAAGCATGATCCTGCTTTGATTCAAATTTTGTATTGTTTATATTGGTAGTTTTTGACTTTGAACTTTGACCTTTAAAGACAAATCTTACTTTTCTTGATAGAGAAGGCAGTGAAAAGACAACAGTAACAGAAACTACACTTTTGTAGTAGTAGGAGTTTATTGATGTCTCTATTGAACAGTATATTGATAATTCATCATTTTTTCTGCCCCCCCTCCCCCCCCCCTCTCTCTCTCTCTCTCAGGGAGCTGTGCCTAAAGGGAATGCTACCAAAGAATTCATTGAAAGCCTGCAGCTCAAACCCGGACAGGTGGTGTACAAATGTCCAAAGTGCTGCAGCATCAAGCCTGACAGAGCTCACCACTGCAGGTACACACAGCGCCCCCCTGTGAACATTAAGCAGTGTGTCTGAAGGGGGTAGAGTATTCCCACTGAAGTCTGCACAGAGGAAGCTAGCCTCTCCAACTCTCATATGTGTTTTTGTTCAGTAGCTGCGTAGCATTTCCCTGCAGACCTCTCAGCTTGATAATAAGGAGTTCCCCCTGTGACTGCTCAGTGGTTTCCTGGGGATCTCATGGCATGAAAAGCACAAAAACAACTGATTTACAACCCCTGTCCCTGGCTCGGCTTTTAGGATTTAAACTGAAGCATTAGACTTAAAGAAATACAGAACTAGGGATACTAAACAAATTTAAACTGAAGCATTTGACTTAAAGAAATACAGAAATAGGGATACTAAACAAATACAGACATTATAAACTGCATTAAAATAAGGACAAACCGTCAAATAAGGTTTTTAAGAGGAAATAATCACTGCTCACAGTTTTACTCGTGTCTTAAATACCTTGAACTCTGTCAGTTTTTTTTTTAATCAGGTTGTTTATGTGTTTCACAGGTGTGTGTTCCTCTTATTAATAACGATGACTGACCAAATGTAGTTCTGTAGTTTGTTTACCAGCTGACAGATTGTTTTTGTAGCGAGGTTGTTTACACATTTCAAAATCAGATTTGAAAAAAGGAAAAGTTTACAAAACTGTCAAAACTTAGTACATTGTGGTTTTGTTTTTTTTGATATTGGATCATAACTGTTTTAGAAAAAGATTCCTGATTAGAAATAGCATAAACAAATCACACAGGTTGTGGTCCGACTTTCTGAAGATTGATCATGAGTGGTCAGACTTTACCTGTGTTGTCAACCAGCTGCAACTCTGTGAGATGAATAACCTCCTGACACACAAACCCAAAAAGTCTGTCCACCATGACTGAGAGCAACCAGTCAACAGTGAAGTGAATTACCCTGCTTCAAGTCTTTTTCTGTTTGGATTAATTGTCCTAATAGTTACAAATACTCTGATTGTTCTTCTTTTGCAGCTGCAGAATGTCGTGGTTTGTCTGTAATCTTCATTTTCTATTTAATAAATGTGTGTGTCCACAGTGTGTGTAAACGCTGCATCAAGAAGATGGACCACCACTGTCCCTGGGTGAACAACTGTGTGGGAGAGAGCAACCAGAAATACTTTGTGCTGTTCACGGTGAGTCTTTAGACTACCGGAGCCGTAATAAGCCATAATGAACGAGTAAATAAAGCACATGATGAAACTGAAAAACACATCCAAGAGTTTCAGGTGACAAAAGAGAGAATCAAACGCATCTAAAGGTCACATATTATGTAAAACACACTTTACTGTGTTTTTCTAACACTAATATGAGTCCCTAGTCTATCTATGAAACCCCCAATGATGAGAAAAGTCCATCCTCTCCGTCTTCTGCCTGCTCCACTTTTCAGAAAATGTGTGCTCAAACAGGCCGTTTGGAGATTTTCCCTTCATGACATCACAAAGGGCAGTAACCCCTCCACAGATGGGTGACACTCCCACAGCTAGGTGTTTGTTCTGCCCTCTGAGTCTGCCTTCTCACCGTAAACAATAGGACATGGAGCGAGAAAGCCCGAGTACACCCAAGCCCTTCTAGAGCGGGGGTGTGGTCAGACACAGCTCATTTACATATTTAAAGGTACAGACACAGAAACAGCCTGTTCTGAGCAGGGCTGAAATAGAGGGGTTTATAGACATGATCAAACACAGGATCAGAGTGGATTTAGAACAAGAAACTTCACACACATGTTTTGAGGAGCTCTGAGACTTATTTACACTGGTTGAAGAGGAGGATAATATGAGACCTTTAAGTAAATGTGTACAATGTAAGTGTTATAATGCATTCTTTACAGATGAACTCTTAGTTATGAAAATGTTGGTCAATCACTACGCTCATTGAAAATACAAAGCAAATAATATTAAGGTAACACTGAATCTGTTCTATGTCCCTCTCTTCTGTTCTCTCCAGATGTATATTGCTCTTATATCCCTCCATTCACTCCTCATGGTGGCTTTCCATTTTGTTTTCTGCTTCGAGGAAGACTGGACAAGTAAGTGATGAGCTGCTGCGGTGGCTGCTTACTTTACAGTTGACCTTAGATTGTTTTACCACCATCCTAATTTACAATGATATATAGATGTTAATAAAGACCGTATATGATTTAACACAGGTAACAAATCTTTCTCTCTCCGTTCTACCTCCCTCTCCAGAGTGCAGTAACTTCTCCCCACCAGCCACCGTCATCCTCCTCATCCTGCTCTGCTTCGAGGGTCTCCTCTTTCTAATCTTCACTGCAGTCATGTTTGGGACCCAGGTCCACTCCATCTGCTCCGACGAGACGGTGAGTTAAAAAGAAGTCCTGATGTGCACCTGTTACTGTTGTCTGACTCTTGGGTTTAGTGAAATATTGCATCAGCCACCTTTAAGCCTCCTGAACAGGTATGTAGAAAATGTGTTGCACTGGCTCTCACCTTCCCTGGTAGGTCACTTCACTTCTCAAAATTGAACTAATTAAAGTATGGGGTTATATTACTTTCTATATATCTTAAGCTGCTGTTTTAAAGGTTGTAAGTGGTGCCCTCTTCATTCAGCAGCCCACACATCAGTTTTGATCTGCTCGGTACACTACGTCATTCACAACAATCCTCCTCTACAGGAAGCTCTCCCGCTGTGAGGACCAAATCAAACAGGAGTGGAGTTTCTTTGGAAGAGCGTACTGTACTGCTGATTAAGACATTCAAAAGAGCAGACACAAAGAAAATGAGAGAGAGAAAGAGAGGGGCAGCAGAGTGCAGAAATCAGAGGCGTTGTTGTGGGTCGCTTTGTGAAAAACAGAACTGAAGGAAGCATTTTTTTTATAAACACGTTTGCTTTCGCATTTCAATATCGTTATCTTCAATGCTTGATGTATTTTTGATGCCAGACGATCATGTTACAGAAATTTTCTTTGTGACTGAAACATTTTACTGTCTACGGAAAGCAGGACGAGATTTGTTTTCATAAAAACACTACTTGCAGGTGAACTAGAATAACTCATCAGAAATATGAAAGGTACCAGTTTGTCCACAGGGGGCGCCAAAATTGACCCCAACAGAAAGTTCCTCTCAGGAGCTTTAAGTTTGAACATCAGGTTCATCATATGCTGAAATGTATCCTTGAAAACAAGTTTATTTAAACAAGTATTCTTGTTTTTTGTTTTCATCCATGGACTCACATCTTCTCTCCTGTGTCTTGCATCCTGTCTCTGCAGGGTATCGAACAACTAAAAAAGGAGGAGCGTCGTTGGGCCAAAAGGTCTAAATGGATGAATATGAAGGTGGTGTTCGGCCATCCGTTCTCTATAGCCTGGCTGAGCCCTTTTGCGACACCCGACCACGGCAAGGCGGACTTGTACCAGTACATCGTGTGAAAGCTGGAAAGGGAGCTGAGCTCTGCTGCTGTGGACTTCAACTTGGTCTGCTGGACCTCAATGAGCATGAACTCCTTTTGATCACTTCTACATATTATTTCCTTTATGAATAATTCATTTATTGATACTTCAGGGTGTTTTTCTGTAAGCTATCACATTGTACAAATATGATGTTTAAAAAAAAAAAAAAAAAAAATTCTCTCCTTCTTTCCATTATATATTTTTGTGACATCTTGAGGCTGACTGAAATGAATGAGGTGTAGCTGTACAGAAAAAGTGCTACAAGGAGAAAAAACCTCAAACTAAGCAGCAGCAACTTGACGAGAAGCACTTGATAAACGTCTGAGGAACAACACCAACAGACTGGTTTCTGCCTTCTTTTTTTTTTTTTTTTTTGGAGGAATATTTCCTGCAGTTTTGTCTGATCATTTCCCGGCTTCCAAAACGATACAATGTGAACTCAGAACTGAAGTCCTGAATGTTTCCGCTCCAGCAGCACCGCCCAGGTGCCAAGAATGGACTCTGGAGTAATACGTCTTCCTGTTAACTTTATCACAGGACAACCTGTCCAATCCTTCATTTGCTGTCTTTCTGTTGCTGCGTTAGTCTTTCACTGAGCGCTGCAGATGCTTTGCCTTAGAGAACAGTGCATTAATGATTATAAAAGACACTTGTATTATTTTGCCTTACTGTGGCTGTCAGGGTGATACAGCATCACTTTGGTTAAATACCATTTTTAAATAAGTGTGTTGTTTGATGCCACAACACTGTGAAGGACATTCAGAGGTTGTAGGACACAGAGTAGTGGGTGGTTGAGGTTTAAATCTTAAAGATTTCAGCGATTTGACAATTTTTGTTCTATGTTTTTTAGGACCAGTATCAGTCTGATGATCAGCTGATGGCACTAACTCTTCAGTCGGATGCGGCAGTTGAAGAAAATGTGCACATAAACAGATGAATGGAAACTGATGTAGTGTAGCCGATATCAAAAAGACGAAGAGGTTACATCTGAATCTATCTGTGCTGATCTCAGATTCACACACGAGCAGAGAGGGTTTTTTTTTTTTAAGAGCTCTCCTGTTTTAGAAAGCACAGCTCTTAGTACACGATGTAATTGACTAACATTACCAAACGTTGATGCACCATGTAGCTAATTAACATCAAGCCTCGTTCTCATGTGACTCAGGTGCTGAAAAACAGATCACATGTGGAAACAGATGAAATCTCTGTGGTTGTGTTTTTTTGGGTTATTTAATGAAACAATCTGCTGATGAAGTGAAACAAAGAGGAGGAGAGCAGTGTGTGTGTGGACAGGAAGTCATTTAACCCGGTGCAGTTTAGAAGTTTATTAACAGTGTTTTGTTTTTTAAATATGAAAATAATTTTCAATTAATTAATTGAATTTTCAGTAAGGAGAAGTTACAAAAAATGTGATATTGGTGTTAATTGTTCTCTAAAGAAAGAAAATCAGAATCGGCAGCTGGCTTTGAGGAAACCTAAATCGACCGCATAAATTGTAATTGGTTCATCTCTTGATTTTAACGTAATATTCAGACACTTTGCAGGTAATTTACGTTTTTTTGGGGGGGCGTATACATTATTAAAAGTGACACGTGAGGGTTTGTTTTTTATCGATGCGTGAGTCTGATGATCGTCCTCCTTTTGATTCTTCGACATCTGTGTGCAAAAAATCTAGCCAGCATCCTCGCTTGAAACTCTTTCTATCACAGTCACCAGCTGATTTGAAGTCAGGGAATAAAGCAATAACGTTGCTCTCTGAATGCACTGAACCTAAGTGTAAGTTTTCTTGTTGTATTTGGCTGTGGATAATCCCGATTTTTTAATAGTCTGTTGTTGAGAGTGGGAAAAGCCTTACAGGGATAAAGGATCAAATTCTGATTGGAGTTGTGGAAGGAGTTGACCGGGGCCTCAAAGAGCATGGTTTAAATGTTCATATTGTGGTCATCTATGGGCAGTACAAGGCAATGCAGAGTGTTTGTTACAGATAGGAAATATTTCACTTCCAAGCATTTACCACTAAAAATGCCTTTGCCAAATCTGTGTTTGAAAGCCTTATTTTAATTATTGTGCTTTTAAAGATGATGAAAGGAAATTGATAAATGTGTTGCCTAATTGAGCACTTAATAGCGGGATTAGAGTAACTATGGTCCAGACTGACTTTTTCTTTGGCTTTTAAAAAAAACACTAGTTTAAAAAAACACATACAGCACAGCAGCTGTCTTTATCTGTTGAATTGTTTCCTTTATTCTTTGTGGCCTGGTACAATTTACTGTGGATCACATGACGTGTATTTTCTTTATCACTGTGGTATTTGTTTAAAGGGGAATGAAATAAAACGTTATATATATATATGTGACTTACATTTTTCTGAAGTCAAATTTTTCAGTTTGATTTTTCATTTTGGTTGAAAAGCTTTTATTTTGTGAGTTTTTTAAACCAGTGGTTCCAAACCTTTTTTTTCTTAGCAAAATAAAGAGTAGATCCTCAGAATAGATGTAGGACAGCATGAATAAGCTTCCCTGTTAAAAGAAAGATGCAGTCGTGATTCAACATCTTTGTCAGATGAGATGTTTATTTGATATCTTCTTTCCCCAGAAATTAAAATGTACACATCCTTAAAAGTGTGTCCTATTCACAGAAAATATGAACACTTTACAAATGTTTTATTTCACATAATATACTGTATATAAGACACATGATGAGTGGTTCAAAACAGAGCAATATTTATTTGAATATATCTAATCACACAATTTCTGTAAGAAATTATAGCCTAATGTTAAATCTTGCAGGATCCTTGAAATTAGAATGACAATTGATTCACAAATTATTTACAGTACCAGCAAAGTGTAATGCTACATCTCTTTTCCATTAGAAGGTCAAAAAAATTAATGATTCTTAAAATGTCCTGCAAAATGTTTTTCTCTTCTGTTTTTTTCCAGTGCAGAACATTAATACTACTTTGGTGTTTTGGTGTATTTTTCTAACCTCGCTGTACACTTCTGCAGATACAGTGCACAGGTATATAAATACATCACGCTCAAGGCCATGCCGCTGTCACAGAGCTATTAACGTGGCTACTGCAAAGCTCTGACTTTTTATTTTACAGTGAGAGTGGATTCACAGGTAGAAGGTTTACCCTCGTGTCATGCCTTTAGCAGAAGAAAAGTGAGGCACCAAAAAATCAACAGCAAATCCAAAGCAAGGAATTAAAGGAAGGTAGAATTAAAGAATAGTTTACTTTTGGGGGGAAATATGCTCATTCACTTATCTGCTGAGAATTAGATTAGACGCCTTATACTTCTACTGATGTCTGTGCGTTAAAAAGGAAGCTTTAACCAGCAGCCAGCTAGCTTAGCCTAGCCTTAGCCTAGCATACATTCTGATGGAGGGATACAGTCCAATAGCCAAAAGTAACAAAAACAGCTAATAAAAGATTCTTTAGGTTCATAAAGAAACATGTGAAAAGTCTATATCATATAACATGAGTTATCTATATACCAAAAGTCTAGTGTTAAAACAGTCTAGTGATGTTTTACAGGGGTGATAAACTAGACCACTTCTTAGCTAGTCCCTGCTAGCCACTGCTACCAATACAGAAAGTCTGCTTTTAATTAAACCCCATAAAAACAACACTTGACGTTTGTTTCATGTCAGTCCAGTCAAAACAAACCTAAAGACACAGCAGGATATTAGCTTTGCTTGGAGAAGGACTACAAAAAAGGGAAACAGCTATAGCCTTGAACATTGGTAACAGGGTAACAAAATGTGAAGTCCACAACACTAGAGCTCATAAATAAGAATGGTTCTCTATCATACAAACTGCTTGCTAATTGTCTGGAAAGCTCTCAAAGTAATCTTGACATCACTCGAACTGACCAAGATATTCAGACTAACGACACTGTCTTTTTATTCACCCCAGTTCCTGTACACACTAAACAAGTGCTAGCTAAAATTGCTAATTAGTGAGCAGTGTTTACCCTTGAACAGAGCTATACTAAGCTGAGCTATCCCACTGCTAACATCAATTTCACATCGATCCAACAGACATGAAATTGGATCAATCGTTTCATCTCATTTCTGTCCAGGAAGTCGATGAATATTTATTTCCCCCCATTTATCCCCAAAGACTGATTCTTTCACTGGAATACTTCCTTAGTTAGGTCACAAGTTAATCTTGTATTTTAAATATGAACATTTGATAACATGTGAAATTGGGAGTTTTTTAGTTCCTTGATTGGGATGTTTTGACTTTCAACAGAGTCAAGCTAGCTTTTACCCATAGTGTTAGCAGTACCTTTAGCCTACCAGCTGCTAGCACTAGCTGTACTGTACAGATATGTGAGCGGCATAAATTGTCTAATCCAACTCTTGGCACAAATTGAATGAGCGTTATTTCTCCAAAACTACACCATTCTTTTCAGAAATGCAAAACACAGGATCCCAAAACATGGAGGCACCAACAACTGAATTCACATCTGGTGCTGCTGTTGTTGCTCGGTTGTGCGTGATCTCCATTGCTGAGGCACCGTCTGTGAGTAGAGTGTTGCTATGAAACATCACTCAGCCAACTTTTAACATGAGAACTTTATAATCACATTGTCACTGCAGTCACATTTATAGGGATGCATGTAAATAACATGATACAAAACCTGCATAGCAGCAGTTAGAGGCACATCTATCATTTTTGTGCATTGCTGTCGTGGGATATTACATACAGGTTTTATAGCTACCGTTATGCATTCATATTATGATATGTATCCAGGACCAGTAAAGTGTGATCTTATATATTGTTCAATAAAGAATCCAGGCAAACCCCTGCTCACTAACTTAGCTTTTTTTATGCTAACAGAAGCACCCCTCTAGCAGCATGTATTGTCATATCTTATGCTCATTTATTTACTCTCAAAGCTCCCTTATTGTTACACACCATCACAGTGTTATGAAATTTAAAGGAGGTACAATGTTACTGCACTCTCACTGACAACTCCAGGGACCTAGAAGGAAGCTTTTAAAGGAGCCAGGTGTTTATGAAATCTGGAGATGATGGATGATGGGCTGATATCCATGACATGCAACAGAATAATATGAGATTGCAAATGCAGGGCACGTGAAGCCCAACACAATGTGATGTCTTCTGTGCTAGAGAGAGACAGTTGAGTCACACTTTTTTACGTTTGATAATCTGAAGCAGCTCTGCGGGGATATAACTCAGATGTGGACTGACCATTTTTGGAAGCTTTGGTGTGAAATATTTGATTTTAGGCCTCAGTAAGATCATGCACACATCTGTGATGAAATGGAAGACAAGCTGCCTCTTCAAACATCTGTCGTGCTCATATACTGAGGTTAAGGCTCAGGCTGTCAAGAAAGGCAAATTAAAAGAAAAGAAGGACCCGGGCAGACAGCAGGATCTTACCAGGGAAGAGCCTTTCAGCATTACATTGAGTGTATCATTACTTGGGTAATAGAACTGCACCTCATTAGCGAATGCTCCATTTCTAGCATTATCGTGTGCATGCGTTAAATGCAAAGTCAGTGTAGCTGCGGTGTAGGATTTTTACTGTGAGTGTCTTTGTAAGGAAATGTGAGAATTAAAAAACCTTTGGTGATCTGATGGCTGCAATACATTATGCACAAGCTGATTGATGTGGACGTGCATATGGTGCTCATGAACAAATCCTAAACCACTGACTTGGGATCAGTGCGTGAATATGCAAACAGGTCCTCTTATTAGAGATAATGCTATCAGTCTCTCCCATTAAAGGAAACATTCAACATTTTGAGCAATGCACTTTTCGTCATTTGCTGAGTGTTAGATGAGAACATGAAAAACCAATCGGATGTCTGTCGATTAAATACAATACTTCAGCCAACAGACAGAATGCTAATAAAAAAAAAAGGCTATATACTAGGGGATAGCTAGCACGTTTCCTTCCTCCATTCATTTGGCTAACCAGTCACTATCAGCTAGCCAACAGACTTAGCTTAGCCCAATGACTCGACAGAAGGAACGGTTCTAAAGGTTAAACGGTCGGTCTTTAGCTTGTTTAAAAAGAAGTGTTGTCTGTTTTTGTTACTTCCTGATCAAGACATGCTAGCTGTGTTCCTCCTCCACTAATTTTGTTCTAGCTAAGCTTTCCAGCTTTAAATTTACCGATAAGAGAGTGGTATCAATCTTCTAATCTACCTCTCAGCTGACATGCTAATGTGCATTTTTCCCAAAATGTTGAATTATTCCTTTAACCCATTTTCCTTGCCCCACATCTTTTCTATTAGCTCAAGAGTTGTTGTGATGTTGTTGACTGAAAGATTCCCTCTAAAAAGTAACATAAAGCTAGTATTGTTTTTGCGCTGTTGTTCGCCTGTGGACAGTGATAAGTTAAGTGCTTCTGGGCCTCCATTAGTTTCTAGTCTCCACTAACCAGAGTGAAGCTGCACCATGGTCAGATGAGGTGAAGGCCAACATCTCCTCTGAGTTTAGAAGACGCTTAGACAATGCTGCGCCACAGCTGAACCAGCCTGTCCCAAATCTATAACCTGGAGAATAGTCTCTGATTTTAAAATAACATTTTGTCTTTTCACAAAATATACGAGGAATTAAGTCAATCAGGAAGCAATCTGTTGAGAGAAAAAATCAATTGATGGATGTTCCTGTTTCTGGAACATCCATCCAAGATTTAATCAATAAATGATTGCTTGTTATTAATAAACCAAATCCATCATATGTACTTTTGAGATTTGTCAATTCTTTGGCTAGGTGTTCAACTTGAAGGAGATGCCGACCAAACCTCATCACATCCTGCAGCTAGCAGGAATCAGGCTGTGCTGAGCTAGTGGAGACCAGACCATACTAGTCGTCCTTAGCGGCTGTGTTCTGATGTCCATCCTGCGGTGAAACTCTCTGCAGAACCAACAGACCAGAGAAGGTCAAGGAGATCCCAACCCACCACAATGTTATCTGGGCTTCACCAAAGATAAGCTGCCCCAGGAAAGCCTGCGGAGGGGAACACATTGAGTTTGTCCATTGTCAAGGTAAATCAATCTCTACATTTCTATTGACGTGAAAGCTACAAAGGATGCATTGATGGGACTGTCTTCCTATGAGAAGCCTAAATCAGTGCTCCATGTTATTTCTGAACATGGTGCAGCCTAGTTTCTAAAATTAAACATCTTATATAAGGAGGAAAGAATTGAAGGTGACTCTGAAATTAACCTACAGTCCACTTTAATCTGATGTGAAGAAGGTATTGGTTTTACTACAAGGAATTGAAAAATAAAATAGGGTTAAGGGAGGGATGAGAGGGAGTGCTACTTACGGAAGATATAAAGTTGGAGGCGGTGGTGGTCACAGTGGTTCGGGTGGAGGAAGAGGAATACCTGAGTGCTTTGGCAAGAAAGGTCCACATCACAGCATTGCAGGTGAAAAGCAGTCCGCCACACAGCAGCCTCAGAGGGATGTGAAGCTGCAGCACAGAGAACAGAGTCAGAGTCAGGACTGAATTCTGATGCTTTGTGCCCAATAATAAAATATCTAACACCTATAATAATAACAAATAATAATGATAAGAGGCTGTCTGTTCACTTTAAAACTGAGGTTAAACATTTATTGTACCTTGAAAACAATGACTGATACATCCATGAAGAAGGCTACTTAAGCCTAAAGAGTAAAAAGTGCAATATTTAGAATATGTAAAGTAATTTATTTGAAATGCTTAGGCATACAGAAACTATTAAGTAAATGCACCTCAAGTTTAATGTAAGTATGCCAATAGAACTTCAGTTAATGTACATAATTATTACATCAGAGCAAATGTAACAGCAGAAGTTGTTGAAACAGAGATCCCTATTTTTTTTCTATATTTTAGTCGTACGGTTCATTCAGATCTGGTCGTGCACATTAAAAAAACGTTTTCTTTGCATCTCCTTGCACCACCGTACTTGCTATTGTAATTAACCTTCACGTTAAAGGTCATTGTGTGACGTGTCCACAGTGTCAGGCTGCAGATGTTTCTGACGTCACTCTGTGACGTGTGAGGGAAGCGTGAAGGTCACACACCAGAAAGCTGACACCGCCTTTAAAGATAACATCCTCTCTCTGCGCCATCAACACCCCCAACACACATAGCTGTTAAGACACGTATAATAACGCGATAATACAGAGAGATTCGCACGAGCTGCAATGCCATTCAAGCACGCGGACACGGCACGAGAGTGCATCTGCAGCATGGGCTCCCCTGACGGTGCTGATGCTGATGGAGTAGGGGAGGGGGAGGCAGGCGGGGATCACCCCCCCCCCCCCCCCAACTTCTTCTGTGGGAGATTACCTCGCTCTGCATTATTCACAACATCTATCCTCACAGTGTTTATAATGAACGCCGCTTTAACGACTCCTCACCCGGTCACAGGCGGTAGTTTCGTCCGGTTGTCGAAATCTCCGCTGCTCTCCCCATGTCCGGAGTCCGGTTTCACAGACCCCCTTCAGATAGTCGGCTCCGAGGGAAAGCTTGGCCGACGACGACGCCACAGCCCCGAGGAAACCCGCCAGCAGTGCATAGAGAACTCCCGGGAACATGTTGACATTTCTAATCCATGTTCACATGTCTGCCTCTATGTGCTGCTGATGCTGCTCCGGGGTTCAGCTGTCTGCATGGCTGTGCGCCTGTGTGTGTGTGTGTGTGTGTGTGTGTGTGTGTGTGTGTGTGTGTGTGATCATGAGAGAAAGAGAGATAATGTGTGTGAGAGTCGCCGGGCACGTTTCCTGCTCTTTCCATACACAACCGTCCGGTGGCAGTCACACAACACGGCAGTCAACTCGGAGAAGCTGGACTAGATTGCTCCCGTGGCATTCTGGGAAGTGTAGTTCAAACGGAGTGAATGGTGACTTCATTGACAATTTCCCACATGTAGCCATTTTTCCTCTGACATCATGCTCAGGCTGCATCGTCATACTGTTGTTTTCATGTTGTAATGTAGGAAATCTAATACATTTATCATTTCAACTCTTCTCCAATGATCAGTAACCGAAAATACATTTTAAAAAAATGATTAATTTAGTCCCTCCCTCTAGCTAAATCATCTCTAAGGTGTGAAGAAACTAGATGCAAACATTAGGTCTGCATTTAGTCAGAGCTCTATGAGATAGCAGAGGCTTTTAAAGTCTGATGACAGCCAGTGTGTTTTCAGATGTGTTGTTTGAACTTGAATCTTGGTCAGATGCTTCTCTGATTTTTCCTGAACAAATGTCTTTTCAGTTTCTTATCAATCAGAGAACATGATAAAGATTCAGACCGTTTGGTTCCCCAACTTTATAAACCCCATGACACAGAAGGACATCTCTCTAAACGGCCTCTGTCCCTCCGTCTGCCAGAGGACAACCTGTAAAACGTCATTGCTTTTATACAATATTTTGATGAAAGTAAATGAAGCGGATCATTAACAGACACTGGGTGAAGCCTTCCCTGAAGTCTCCTGGGCTAATACAATAAAGGACGATCAATGCTAATGTGATGTGCTTGAGTGTAGGTGTAGAGTATGACTCCAGTTGATCCAGAGCTTAGGATGGACCTCTTTGTTCCTGAGCATACTGATGAGCTGTAGCCTATTATAAAGGCTCATTACGCTAAACTACAGCATGTAGGACGAGTGGAACTGATGGGAGGACTGTGTGTATTCAATTCACATAATCATTAAGAGATGAGTCTGTCAGAGTTCATTATTCTTCTTCTTATGAATCTAAATGGGAGGCAACGTTATGTTAGTCTGTATATCTGTATTCATCATTTCTATTTTTCTTTTTTATTCTCTTACAGTTTTTTTTTGTCGATTATTGGACAAAAAATGAAAAAAAATATATCATTAACAGCATGATATTAATGTTAGCACTAAACGAGCATATAAAGCATTAAGGCATGTTAATCAGATCCCTGCTAATTAACTCAGTGGCTCCATTTGCTGTAGTGACACCTAGCAGAAAACTAACAGCACCTGAAAATATACTACTTTAAGTCTTCAAATAATCATCTAAAAATCCATTTAAAGAAATTAGCTCTGGGGACTGTTATCTAAACATGTGTATTTCTGCTGTATGATGTACTTACCTACACAGGGCTCTATGATAGACTCATGTTTGGAGCCAGCCTCAATGGACTCATTTTCATTTTCACAAGTTGCTTCTTGACTATGCATGGTCATCTGCCTTTTGTCTTACCCCCTCCCCCCCTCAGATGTGTTTGCTTGGATATGTTTGGATTACCATGTGTACAGATCAGAGGACTGTTTAATACTCTCTTCCTCTGCCCAATACTTCAACAACCCAGGGTGTTGCTTATAGGCAGCCATACCAAGCACCTCGTTTAAACCATCCCAGCTTGTGTTTTTAGCCAATTGTATTATTATTATTGCAAGGAGAGCTGAAGATTCAGTGATGTTAATATAGTTAGGATGATAGATTTGTCCCAAACTGCTGCACAGACTAAAGTGCAGTTTCTTTCCAGCAGCAGGCCCTTTGTTGCCTTCCCAAAGTAGGAAAATAGAATCGTCGCCTATATAATTACATTAAAGATTGATGTGTTGTGTTGCCCTCCAGTGCCTCGTGATGCTCTGACAGTGAGATACAGAAGTGAAGAATTATTCATGATATCAGGACACTGGAACAAAAAGATGCTTCATTAAATCCATCTGTCATTCTTTTGTCATTTATTTTTACATTAAAACAATGATGAAAGGTTGAGATGCCTTTAGGACAAATGCTTTCTTGCTTTGTGTTCCTGATGAGTCTCTGTGATAACGCAGTGTTTAAGGGGTTAAGTCATTGAACTGGTTGTGGTCTATTTGGAGAGGCAAACCAGTTTGGACGCTTTTTAAGCTTCTTTTTTTTTCCTGAAGTCTACCAACTATTGTAAGGTTTTTAAACATTAAAATAACAATTTATACCCACCAATTCTGGTCTTTACTCAATCTTAAAAAATGCACCTCTTCTTTGTTTCAGCTGTGAAGTGTAGCGTGCAGCGTGCATCGTTCTAATTCCCCACAGAAATGACATGACAGAATTAAAGGTGAGCTCATCCTCGTCCTTTCTCCGTTGTGCCAAGTGCAAACCCAAATAAGCTTTCTAGCCAGTAGATGTCTCTAATGTGCTTCACAGAAGTACATCACATCCAAATTCACCACAAAATGCTGAGGATGGAAATAACTCCTCTGAACGCTGTGTATTCATCGCTGCAGTGAGGAAAATGAGTTTGAAATATAACCTGTTCTTCCTGTTGATGCTCTGACAGATTGTTACCTCAACTCCACATAACCTCTCCATCTTGACATTTGTGAGCTGTAAAATCTTAATTAGCCTGAAAAGAAGCAGTTGTTACTCTGAATGCATCCATGTGGGTATCTGTCTAGGTAAGTTATAGGGTTATTTTCACTCGTCACACAGTCTATAAAGGATATTAGACACACAAAGCAACAAAATGTAATAATGGTGTGTGTGTGTGTGTGTGTGTGTGTGTGTGTGTGTGTGTGTGTGTGTGTGTGTGTGTGTGTGTGTGTGTGTGTGTGTGTGTGTGTGTGTGTGTGTGTGTGTGTTTGTTGTCTGGGGGAAACGGATATTAAAGTGTTGAGCAGTGACAGTGCAGAAAATAAATGAAAGGTGTTGTTTCTGTCACTGTGTCCCCAGCTCTGATCTCACTGAAACAAGCCTCAGGGGAAAAGGCCATCCTTGGTCTGTCATATTTCGACACCCTGTATCCTCCCGGAGTGTCCGTCGAGCTTCGTCGAGCTTCTGCTATGAAATCAAGAGCAGCGATTAGCTGTTATGTTCTCGCTCCTCTGACAAACACATGCTGGTGTCAGTTGAGAGAAAGGACTGGAGATCCTTCTCCTCCTGTGTAAAGGAGTTATAATTGAGCCCACAGAGAGGTTAAGTGACACTTTTACTGAAGCGCTGTCACTGTCTGCCTGGGTCTTTGTCCACCTTTTGGTCCTGTTAAGGGATTTAATAAGGAAGAAAATACTATCCTCAAAGTTTGGAGTTCATTAGTGTCACAGCTGCAACGCTGACCTTTAAATCGTCTGTCATTTATTTGAAGACAAAAATAGTTTTTGACTGAACTAAGATGTAAAATTCATCTGTGAAAAACTACAGAAGGATGGATCTTTTCCTGAAGTTTCCCTTCTTTTGTTTTACCTTTTTATGTCTTTAAACAGTCCCATACTCCGAGCTTTATCTGCAGTGATACACAGGGGCAGCCTTTTCTTTTACACTTCATTTAGCTGATTTAACTCGTCTTGGCATGTTTCAGTTTGTTTTCCTACAGATTATGTAAACAGTGCATAGCTGCTGGTAAATATTAAGCCCTGTCCAATTTGATTAGGTGACATTTTTATTTTAACACACACCCATCAACTGTGCAAAGAATATAGGTGATATAGGTTTAAAGGCTTTTGTATGCCTTCATTTGAGAGACAGGACAGTGGACAGACTTAGAAACCAAAGACAGAGAGAGTGGGGAATGAAAAGGAGCCACAGGTCGGATCCGAAACCGGGTCTGCGTCGAGGACTATCACCTCCGTAAATGGGGCGCGAGCTCCAACAACTAGGCCACCAGTGCCCCTATAATAGATGGACCTTCAACATCTCTCCTCTGCTAACTTCTCATTAACCAGTGAAGCAGTGGAATTTTACAACAAATCCCTAAACAGTCTCCTGGATCTCCACGCCCCTCTCAAAACCAGAACAGTCACGCTCCCACGCTCAGCCCCCTGGTACACCTCCGAGCTGCGGAAAATGAAGGCGACTGTTCGTGTCCTTGAACAGCGTCTCAAGGTCTCAGGACTCACTGTGCATTGGGTTGCATATTGGGAACACCAAAAAGCCTACTCAAAGTCCCTGTCAATGCCCGGTCACAGTTCTACTCAAATATCATAAATAATAGCCCTGGCAACTCAAAGCAACTTTTCTCCACCATAAACCATCTCCTAAATCCACCAACCCCCTTCCTCTCAGACACCACAGAGGAGCGGTGCAACGGTTTCATTGACTTTTTCAGAAAAAAAGTTAACACCATCCCCTCTCTCAGCTCCGCCTCTCCACCTGTCACGACTGCCGACCCACAGCCGGGGACCACCCAGCCTGTCTGCTGCCGCTCTGCAATTACGCAGCGAGAGACTGAGGAGATCATCAAACAAATGAAACTTTCCACTTGCACCCTGGATCCCTTTCCCACAGCCCTGGTCAAATCAAACATCTCTGCCATAAGTCCCCTTATCACCAAAGTCGTAAATCACTCCCTGCAGACCGGCCATGTTCCATCTGCCTTGAAAACTGCTGTCATATCACCACTTAATAAAACCCATCCTAGACCCAGATGTCTTTGCCAACTACAGGCCCATCTCCAACCTTCCGTTAATTTCCAAAGTGCTGGAAAAAGCAGTTGCAGCTCAACTTCATGACCATCTACAACACAATAAACTATTTGAGAAATTTCAGTCTGGTTTCCACTCTGCCCACAGTACAGAAACAGCTCTGGTCAGGGTCACAAATGCCGTGCTGATGGCAGCTGACACTGGTTCTCCATCTCTCCTCATTCTCCTCGACCTGACAGCAGCATTTGACACCGTCGATCACGACATCCTCCTCAACTGCCTTCACTCTGTCATCGGTCTTTCTGACTCCGCCCTAGACTGGTTCTGTTCATACCTCACTGGAAGAACCAAACATGTCTCCCTTGGAGAGAAAAAATCCCGGACTCACCTTGTCACCTGCGGTGTCCCCCAAGGATCTGTCCT